GTGAAAGGGGGGTCCATGCCGACGCCGCCGGGCAGCTCGCGCGACGTCCGCCTCAGGATGAGGGCGCGCGCCAGCCGCGGGAACCAGGCGCAAAAGGTGGTGAGCACAAAGGCCGACAGGATCCATTTGAAGCGGATGACGCGCCGGGCCAGGGCGCCGGGCAGCAGGAGGCGCAGCGAGCGGTCGACGGGGTCCGTCTGCGGCAGGGAGAGGATGTAGGTCGGCGATCGCTGGAGCATCGTCGTGTGCGCCGCCTCGCCGCACATGGACGGCAGCAGCGTCACGGCCGTGGCGCCCGACCCGATGATGACGACCCTCTTGCCCGCGTAGTCGAGGTCGGCCGGCCAGAACTGCGGGTGCACGACGGTGCCGGCAAAGTCCTGGAGGCCCGGGATGTCCGCCTGCAGCGGCTCGTCGTAGTTGTAGTAGCCCGTGCCCAGGAAGACGAAGCGCGACCGCAGCCTGACCTCGTCGGAGCCGCCGGCCGCAATGTCCAGGGTCCACGAGGACGAGGCCGACGACCAGTCCATCTTGCGGACCCGGTGGCTGAACTTGATGTGCCGGTCGATGCCGGCCTCGGCCGCCGACTCCTTGAGGTACTTGAGGATGAGGCTGCCGTGCGCAATGGGCTGCTTGTCCTCCCATATCCTCCACGGGAACCCAAACGTGTACAGGTCCGAGTCGGACCGGATGCCCGGGTATTGGAAGAGGCTCCAGGTGCCGCCAATCTCGTGGCGCCCGTCGACGATGCAGTAGCTCAGCTCTGGGTTGCGCTCCTGCAGCCTGTAAGCCATGTTGATGCCCGAGATGCCGGCGCCGATGATGACGACGTCGTAGTCGACGTCTTGTTTCTCGTGTTCCATGGCGGCTGGCTTATTTCTTCTTGTTCGTTTGTGATTTCGGCGGCGTCTCGTTGCTACTGGCGACAAGAAATGTAAAAGTGAGGGGGAAAAAAAGGAAGTCTCGAAATCAAAACCCTAACCCTAACCCTGCGACGGTGGTGTACGGCACGCGGTTTCGCCTAGAGGAGCAAGCAGCAACAACACGGCGGATGGTTGTATCCCAAGACAACGCGCAGGGCTTCCCCGGATTTTTATACCAAGACGCAACAATTATCCAGAGACAACAGGGCGGGCTGCGACTCTATTTCAATCCCGGCGCGGGACAGAATGCCCTCCGTCGCCGCAAGCCTCGGCATGTAGTATTCGCCTGAGACAAAAGACGACGGTCCTCGCAGTGGCCGTCTATCCTGCGAATGCGATTTGTCGACTCCTTGTTTGGCCGTCGCCCCGCGGGTCCGGCTCCAGCTGTGCCTGGTTCGCCACAAAGCTCGCCTCTCCACGAAAGCTGGGGAGAACATTGAATGTGGGAAAAAAGGGCCCGATCGCTGGCCCACCCTGGGAATCGCTGCGACGCAAATGGCCAGGTTCGCGAACCTGCCTGGGGCCAGTGACCAGAGACCCCCGTCCGCCGGAGCTTGAAGTGGTTCCTTGGATCCGTTCCAAACGGAGCGTCCGGGTTGCCCTGGGTTGCTCCGTACCAGACGTCGCTGCCAGTTTGTTGACATGTGCCGACGAGACGGCGTCGGGGCTGCGCATGTGCTTCGCGGGGTGGTCTGATGCTGGAGGGCTGTTGCAGCCTGCGTTGGCCGTCGATGTTTCTGCCTGGGCCACGGGGATCTGAGCGTGGCATGACGAATTCTCGAGGCCTTTTGGCAAATTCAACAACTTGGTCGGGCGTGACACGCGTTCAGTCAAGAGACCATGATGCAACCAACACAGGGCAGTTGGACGCGTTGAGCCGAGCTGTGGTCTGGCGTCCTCGCAAGGGCCGACGTCTTTCAACCTAGAACTGTCGCAGCGACATCACATGAGAGCGTCAACGTCATTGCTTACTCGCTTTGGTCCCTGGCAAATCTCCGCTGCGGGTTGCGTACATGCCGCCAGGACTAATCCGGGAATAGACCAGTTGACTTCTCCGCTTATAGCCATCCCCATCGTGCGACGGAGAGTTGGGAAACATGAAGGCACGTTTATCGCGCAATGCCACGACAAGCTACCGTCGTTCTGCACATGCCGGGGTTCCGAGGCCTGTGCTCATACATGTCAACTGGTGCAATTTACGGAATGAATACCATTGGTAGCTAAACACCACCCGTCCAACCATGTAAGATGACTGGCCAGCCCTGCAATATACAATTTTACACGTCATACTCCCCCGATGGGCTCATCACCATTTAATCAACGGCCCTGGGCGCTTCCCCAGCAGGTCCAGGAACGCATCAAGAGTGGCCCTCGGCAAAATGGCCAGGGAATCGCGATCCAGCAAGACAGAGTAGACCGTCCTCGTCGAGCAGGCCGTCTGGTGGCCCTGGCCATCCATCCTCGCCCGCAGCCAGGCAAGCGCCTTTGGCACGCCTGCAATCGCCAAGGTCTCGTGGTTGGTGCTCTCGTCCCGCAGGTACTCGACGGCCGTGCCGCTCTCGCAGTACCATTCCACGAGGGCGTCCGTTTCGGCCACGGGGCTAATCTCGTCGTGGGTGGCCTTGTACACGAGCAGCGGCGCCTTGGGGGCGCGCTGCCCCAGGTCGTTTTCCCTCGAGATCCCGAGCACGGTGGGATCCGCGTGGAGCAGCGTAGGGTCGTCCACCCACTGCGTCAGGTTCTTGCCGCTGTACTCCTTGATGTCCCCCGCCAGGCACAGGCTGGCGGCCTTGTAGAAGTCGTCCTTGTACTGGGGCAGGATGTGCTTTTGCAAAAGGGCCTCGAGCTCGGGGTACTGGTGGGCGAGGCCGAGGATGCCGGCGGGGATGAGGCCGGCGAAGCCGGTGCCGTCGACCTGGGCCAGCACGGTGGTGATGTTGGGCACGGGGCCGCCGCCCGCCGCGCCGGCAATGGCCAGCTCCGGTGCGTACGACGGCTGCAGCTCCGCCGCGAACATGGTGGCGAGGCTGCCGCCCGAGTAACCCCATAGCG